GTACATGTACTTGTAGTAAATAAAGATCTTCTTTCTTTCAACAAACCGGCCGTATCCCACCGAGACAGGGTAGCCCAAAAAGAAAAACAAAAGTTTCTCTTTTTAAATTTAGTAATTTATACAGGAGAAGGGGTTACTAGCCCCTTGCTCCCGGCATTTTAGTCGCCTCTTACAACATGCATGGCTTACGGAGGAAGAATTCTGTTCCACTTTCCAATGGAGATAAGAGGAAATAAACAAGAACAAGAACTAGAAAGAAAATAGAAGAAAACTCAGAGGGGTATGTATATATATGCTTGTACATGTATGTGTAGTGTGCCCTAAGTGTAAGTAGAAGTAGCAAGATGTACCTGAAATCTTGCATGTTTATGAGACAGAAAAAAGACACCAGCAATCCTACCATCATGTAAAACAATTACAGGCTTCTGTTTTACACTCACTTTGCAGGACGGTAGTACCTCCCTGGGCGGTTGCTGTGTACCAACCTACTACCTAGGAGTAAATAAAGATATTATTATTATTATTGTTCAAGCAAACTGTTTGATTGCCTTAATTGTCAAGAAACTGTATTGAATGAGGACTTGCTCTCAGTAACTGTTTAAGTCTAAGTCGAGTTGAGTCTTACTGAGACATATTAAGCACATACACACATTCTCACAAACCTGTACATTTTTATAATTTTTCGTTGGATTATAACTCATCATATCTACGTGCCAGACTGTATTTGTGAGTCGTACTGTTACAAAATGTGCCCTCAGCACTATGCTACTATATGTACAATTTAACATCGCACTACAAGAGAAGTGTAGGAGCTTATATCCTAAATTACAGTAGATTGTTATATTACATGGTAATTGCGTTCCTGAAAAGCCATGTTGGGTAAATCTGTGTTAGATAAACTAAAGAAGTTACGGGAAAAATAGGGTTACGTTCCTGGGAGCCCCAAAAATGCAAACAACTTTTTTTAGACCTCCAGATCATGCAAAAATAAAGATGAATATGTAATTATAGTTCACTGTCATGATGTATAATGTTGTTTTTACTGTTTAAGACTACAAATGCAACAGAAATAGGAGTATATCTTACCTTAAATTGTGGGTGCTGGTGTTTGAGGATGATTGTGAAGAGAAAGGAGACTCATAATAGAGGTTCTGGTACTGAAGTCGATGATTGTACTGGAGTGTGCATAAATTCTGTAATGGATTTCTGTTCTATTTTACCCTGCAGTGCATTATACAACTGGTGGTAAGGCATCAGTTGCTCTAGACACTATTTCAGGGTGCTTTTCAGTGAAAAAGACTAACTTTAAGTCAGTCAGTAAATCAGTCATGTCAGTAAGTCAGTCAAGTCAGTCAGTCAGTCGGTCAAGCCAGTAAGTCAGTCCGTCAAGTCAGTAATTCAGTCAGTCAAATCAGTAAGTCAGTCAAGTCAGTCAGTCAGTAAATCAGTCAAGTCAGTCAGTCAGTAAATCAGTCAAGTCAGTCAGTCAGTAAATCAGTCAGTCAGTCAGTAAATCAAGTCAGTCAGTAAATCAATCACATCAGTCAGTCATCACACAAACTCGTATTTACCTCATTCTTTTTATGTGCACAAAGTTATGCTTCATTACGGCCACAGGTTATCTCTTGTCTAATATCTCTATTTTCTATAATTCTAAGATTTAAATGCTTAACCCCTTAACTGTCAAAATGTAGATCTACGTTCTTAGCACTAGCGCTCCAAACGTAGATCTACATTTTATTTTTCCTGTCTTCAAATTTGGTGCAATAGGCCTTAGTGACCTAGACATGAGAGAATGGGTCTGAGCACTCAGTGTGTGCTGTATGAAAAAAACTGGGGACAGCGCAGTACTACATGGTAGCACCAGTTCGTTTCAGCTCCATCCTGGGTCAACATCATGGCAAACCCTCGTGATTCACTCACGCTTCATTGTATTAACAATCTCTTATTCGTGAAAAGTGATATAGAATGGGAGTTTAGTGAATCTGAGACCAATATGATCACTAATGATCAAGGAATTGGTGAAAATATTGACAATAACCCTGATGACCCTCAGCCCATCCCCTCTAGGGTGGCCAGTGGGGCCATGCAAGACCCTCAGCCAAGCACCTCTGGGACAGCCACACTGGCCATCTCAGCTTCTCAGCCAAGCACCTCTGGGGTGGCCAGTGTTACAACTCAGAGGCTACTACACAAGAGGAAATTATAATATTCTGTTATTTTTGGCGAAGATGAGAGTGAAAGTGATATAAGTGATGATGAGATTGATTTTCTCCATGGGGAAGTGGAACAGAATTCTTCCTCCGTAAGCTATGCGTGTTGTAAGAGGCGACTGAAATGCCGGGAGCAAGGGGCTAGTGACCCCTTCTCCTGTATATATTACTAAATTTGAAAGGAGAAATTTTCGTTTTTCCTTTTGGGCCACCCCACCTCGGTGGGATACGGCCGGTGTGTTGAAAGAAGAAGAAGAAAGAGATTGATTTTATGCCCATAGATGAATCATCAAGTGATAGTGATATACATTATTCCCCATGAAGCATACCTTTAGGTGTCATCGCCTATGTTCAGGCAGTGTGCCATATGCAGTGCCCAAGGATCGTGGGAGATCACGATGGAAAACCCCAGCAACTGATAGTGATCATAAAGGAAAATACACAGAGATGGAGGATGAGGAGGAGGTGGTGGTGGGTGGCATGGTGCCTGGCCTGTGTAGTGCATTGGGTGGGCAGACAAAGGACTGCTTGGCACCCCGTCAACCATGTGCTGTTTCCACTCCCATTCCCCCTACTGCTCCCCCACGCCCCATGCCTCAGGTCCACCCTGCACCATGTGACCGTGAGTGGAACTGGACACAAAGTACAACATTCGTGCCACATCCTTTTGATTCTGATGCCAGTGGAAGTGGCATCCTCGCACAATGTCCCATCACGAATGAGTCTACAGAGTTAGACTTTTTCCAACTATACTTTGATGGGCCGTTAATGTACTCGATTGTCACCCAAACAATTACTACTGCTATACAATGGACAACACAGTGGTTGCAGAATCGTCACGGCTGTGCAGATGGAAAGATACAACTGTGGCCGAAATGTATTTATTCCTTGGCACTGTCATGCTTATGCCTCATGTGTATAGACACAATATAGCACAGTTCTGGTCCACAGACTACTTCATCAGTATTCCAGTCTTCCATGACCTCCTTCCCTGAACAGATTCACTCTGCTGCTTCGAATGTTGCACTTCCCAGACAGGATTAGGCCCAACAGAAATGACCTTTCATACAAAATCCAGGAAGTGTTTATGTATCTGAAGCAGATATTCAGTGCCTAATTTTTATCCATTCAAGAACATTGTTGTCAACGAGTCCTTGATTCTGTTCAAGGAACGCCTGTCATTTAAGCAATATATACCAAGCAAACATAATTGCTTTAAAATAAAACTGTTTTTTATGTGTGACTGTGAGAGTGGCACAGTGTTAGATGTCACTGTCTACACCGGGAGTAACACACTCAATGATGACAGGTGGATGTTGGGCATTTCTGGTGATGTCGTTCACAAGATGATGAAGCCATAACTTTGCAAGGGTTATACATTGTTCACAGACAACCAGTATACAAGCCCTATGCTCACTGATTTCCTACGTATGAACAATACTGATATATGTGGAACAGTGAGAAGAAATAGAAAACATATGCCAAGGTTCCGTGGAGGCAGTGGTGAAGGTGCAGTGCAAGAGTTTCATGCCAATGACATGATGGCACTGATGTTGCATAACAAACGGGATGTGACATTGCTCTCAACCACCCACAGAAATGAGATGGTGCAAACCTACAAAGTGAACAGGAAGACCAATGGATGCATTGTAAAGCCAACTGCTGTCATTGACTATACGAACAATATCCAACTAGTCAAGAAGTGTGACATGATGAAAGGGTTCGCTGACTGTGTGTGTAGGAGACGCAAGTGGTATATAAAAGTGTTTTTCCACTTGCAGACACTGCAATGCGCAATGCTTTCAACATGTATGAAATAAAGACTGGAAAATGACTTCATTATGCAAAATTCAGCCAATATGTCATCAAGCAGATAGCAAAAAAGTATGGTACCAGACCTATGCCTGCCCCTCAACAGCAATCTGTCACACCACAACCTGTATCCCAACCAAAACCAGTGGAGGAAGTGCCAGACTGAATCCTCACTAACTGTCACTACCTGATACCAATACCACCTACCCAAAAAAAGAAGTATTCTCAGAAAAAGTGTGTTGTGTGTGCTACCACCTCAAGGCGACCCCAACAGCGGAAGGTCACATGATTCTTTTGCAGGCAATGTGGGACGGCACTCTGGGTGAATCCATGTTCCATGGGGCATCATACAATCCTGGAGTACTAGAAACATAACTGGGACATGTAAATACTTGTATATAGTTGTTAATAATAAAAAGTGATTCGACCAGGTGTACAGTATCACCTATAAGTGTGTACATGTGTGTTTGTGACAAAATTATTAATAATTTCATACAGCTACACTGAGAGTAAAAGGTAGATGGGATACAAGGAGAATAGAAGCACTTAAAGAAACCTAAAAAAAAATGGCTTGGCATTTTTGAAGTTCACAAGAACATAACCCCATTATTCCCCTATGTTCTTAAATTAAATTAATCCTTTCACCGTCAGTCCCGCAATATTACAGATTTGAAGCCAGTGTTAGTCCCGTAATACTACGCCAAAATTCTAGCGGCTTCCAAACTTGCAGGAGATATCTGGTAGGCCTACATATGAGAGAATGAGTCTGAGTAGTTAGTGTGTACAGTATAAAAAAACCTGTAGCATGCAGTGTATAAAAGCTTAAACGTATAGTAGGGTAACCCCCAAAAACTTACAAACATTCAAAACCACTCATTCAAACAGCTGTCTTATGAACAAGTGCTGGTAAATGTCTCTCCTTCTGTGGGTAACAATCTTAATGTGCTTTAAAAAACAAAAGAATGTTGAACTTACATTTAACTTATCTACAGAAACTGATCCAGTAATTTTTGCAACTTTATCCATAATGGTGGGTGTTGAGTCTCCTAGGTAGACAGGGGAAGCTCTGGCCTCTATCTCTGTGATCACCACCTCTAGAATCTCTCTGATGTTCTCCTGTACCTACAATGTTCAACACTAATATTAACAGAGGAGGATGTGTCTCCCAGCTGCACGAGAGGTTTAACACACCAAGCTTCATACGTCAGTAATAACACTTAGCAATAATGACAGAATTACTGAAAAAATGTTAGGTAAATGGATACTGTTACAACTAATGTGACATTTTATTGTTCTCGCAATAAAATATCACATTAGCTGCATCTGTGTCCATTTACCTAACAGTAAGACTTACATCTGACAAAACCTGAAAATTCTGAATAGTATAAATTTTTACATTTGTATGAGTACAGATAATTCCAAGATTTTAAATTTTAAGAATCCAAAAGCAAATCTTATGTATGGTATCTGCATACATTATATTAGTTAAATTATTAATACAGTGGAACCTCTAGTTGCAAGCGCATCCATGTGCGAGTTTTTCCAAATACGAGCAATCGATGGGTCGATTTTTTGTTTCCATATGTGAGAAAAATTTCCATAAGCGAGCAGACCTCAAGGTAGGTTCCTTGATGCTGGTGAGGGGCTCTTGCTGTTGATCTAGGGAACTGTATCTCATTTGTTTGTTGGACTATCTTATTGAAACTTGGGCAATGTATGATGGAAAGATGTTTCTTAACGTATACCAAAAATGAAAGAAATCTCAGCAATTAGCCACCCCTTAGCAGTATTTTCGTAAGGTTTTTATGGCTGAATTCTCATTTTTTTGGTCTCATTTGATAGAATGGAAGATATATTACAGAAATAGATATGATTTTGATTGCTTTCACGACGAAAAGTACCTCGAACTTCAGCTCAACACAGGAGAAATGTTTGATTGTTTTGGCTATGTTTCAGAGTAAACACTGTCCATTCCAATATGCAGTCGTGAATGGGTTGACATTATTTATACAATTATTGCAATAGGGCATAACAGTAAATCTTATATTTTTTGTGTGAATAAAAATTACAAATTATTTATATTGCAATAATAATAATAATAATCAAGGTAGTAGGTTGGTAGACAGCAACCGCCCAAGGAGGTACTACCGTCCTGCCAAGTGAGTGTAAAATGAAAGCCTGTAATTGTTTTACATGATGGTAGGATTGCTGGTGTCCTTTTTTCTGTCTCATAAACATGCAAGATTTCAGGTACGTCTTGCTACTTCTACTTACACTTAGGTCACACTACACATACATGTACAAGCATATATATACACACACCCCTCTGGGTTTTCTTCTATTTTCTTTCTAGTTCTTGTTCTTGCTTATTTCCTCTTATCTCCATGGGGAAGTGGAACAGAATTCTTCCTCCGTAAGCCATGCGTGTTGTAAGAGGCGACTAAAATGCCAGGAGTAAGGGGCTAGTAACCCCTTCTCCCGTATAAATTACTAAATTTAAAAAGAGAAACTTTCATTTTTCTTTTTGGGCCACCCTGCCTTGGTGGGATACGGCTGGTTTGTTAAAAAAAAAAAATGTATAATAATGTATAATAATAATAGTACGTATAATAATATAATAAAATGATAATAATAATATAATACAATAAGAATAATAATATAATACAATAAGAATAATAATATAATACAATAAGAATAATAATATAGTACATATAATAATAATACATATATAATAATAATATACTACATAATAATAATTATAATAATAGACTGCTTCAAATGGCTGTCACTAGATGGCAGTGTTTACCACAACACAGAAGGAGCGGTTGTGGCTGCCTCCACCTGTTACATAATGGCACATTTTATTCATTCTAGAGTATATATCAGGTTTCTCTGTTATTTACATTGTTTATTATTTCATATTAGACGAACTGTGATAGATAAACAAGCCGTAGAGTTGATGATAGCGAAATATTCAAGGGATATTTTGTCTTGTTTCCAGACAAACTCTCGTCGGCTGCCGCCGCCGCTGCCACATATATAATGACATATTTTATTCATTCTAGAGTATATATCAGGTTTCTATGTTATTTATATTGTTTATGTCATATTAGATGAACTGTGATAGATAAATAACCCGTAGAGATGAGATAACGAAATATTCAAGAAATATTTTGTCCTGTCTCCAGACAAACACTTGTCAGCTGCCGCCACATATATAATGACATGTTTTATTCATTCTAGAAAACATATCAGGTTTCTATGTTATTTATATTGTTTATGTCATATTAGATGAACTGTGATAGATAAATAAGCTGTATATCTGGAGAGAGTTCCAGGGGTCAATGCCCCCCCCGGCCTGGTCTGTGACCAGGCCTCCTGGTGGATCAGAGCCTGATCAACCAGGCTGTTACTGCTGGCTGCGTGCAATCCAATGTACGAGCCACAGCCTGGCTGGTCAGGTACCGACTTTAGGTGCTTGTCCAGTGCCTGCTTGAAGACAGCCAGGGGTCTACTGGTAATCCCCCTTATGTATGCTGGGAGGCAGTTGAACAGTCTCAAGCCTCTGACACTTATTGTGTTGTCTCTTAACGTGCTAGTGACACCCCTGCTTTTCATTGGGGGGATGTTGCATCATCTGCCGAGTCTTTTGCTTTCGTAGTGAGTGATTTTCGTGTGCAAGTTTGGTACTAGTCCCTCTAGGATTTTCCAGGTGTATATAATCATGTATCTCTCCCGTCTGTGTTCCTGAGAGTACAGGTTCAGGAACTTCAAGCGCTCCCAGTAACTGAGGTGTTTTATCTTCGTTATGCGTATAACGGGTTTATTTGGTATTCTGGTAGCGGGTGGTTAAATGATATACTTCTTCGGAGGCTTCTTTCTTTATTGTTAAGTATGGTGGGTTACACAGGCTTGTGTGTTTGTGCCCATGGCCCGGGAGGGCCATGCCCACGAGCGAGACCTGGGAGGCCTTGTGTGTTGATGCCAGGCCGCTGTGTGAGTGAGAGCAAGGCAAGTCTGGGCATACTGAAGCGGCAAGGCCTAGGTGGCAGCACCAGCATAGCGCGAAATATGAACTAAGCTGGCAGACAGCATGGGCTGTCTGTGCAGACAGTACAGGCTGTCTACATACGCTCGGCCACCTACCGCACGTCGTCCCGACGCGACAATACTGGTAGTAAAAGAAACTCGGTCTCTCTCTCTCATAGGAACAGGGCACAGAACACAAAATAAAAACATATACAGTGGACCCCCGCATACCGATGGCATCACATAACGATTAATCCGCATACCGCTTGCTTTAATCGCAAAAATTTTGCCTCGCATACCGCTTAAAAACCCGCTCACCGATTTTCGTCCGAGACGCGTCCAATGTGCGCCCTCAGCCAGCCTCACATTTGCCGCCGGTGGCATTGTTTACCAGCCAACCTCCGCGGTAACATCCAAGCATACAATCGGAATATTTCGTATTATTACAGTGTTTTCGGTGCTTTTTCTGGAAAATAAGTGACCATGGGCCCCAAGAAAGCTTCTAGTGCCAACCCTACAGCAATAAGGGTGAGAATTACAATAGAGATGAAGAAAAAGATCATTGATAAGTATGAAAGTGGAGTGCGTGTCTCCGAGCTGGCCAAGTTGTATAATAAACCCCAATCAACCATTGCTACTATTGGTGGTACACCTGCTGCTGCTGCTGCACTGTCAGCTGCTGCTGCTGCTGCTGTAGCATCGTCTGCTGCTGCTGCTGCTGCTGTAGCATCGTCTGCTGCTGCTGTAACATCGTCTGTTGCTGCTGTAGCATCGTCTGCTGCTGCTGTAGCATCGTCTGTTGCTGCTGTACCACCGTCAGCTGCTGCTGCTGCTGTAGCATCGTCTGCTGCTGCTGTAACATCGTCTGTTGCTGCTGTACCACCGTCAGCTGCTGCTGCTGCTGTAGCATCGTCTGCTGCTGCTGTAGCATCATCTGTTGCTGCTGTACCACCGTCAGCTGCTGCTGCTGCTGTAGCATCGTCTGCTGCTGCTGTAACATCGTCTGTTGCTGCTGTAGCATCGTCTGCTGCTGCTGCTGCTGTAGCATCGTCTGCTGCTGCTGTAACATCGTCTGTTGCTGCTGTAGCATCGTCTGCTGCTGCTGTAGCATCGTCTGTTGCTGCTGTACCACCGTCAGCTGCTGCTGCTGCTGTAGCATCGTCTGCTGCTGCTGTAGCATCATCTGCTGCTGCTGTAGCATCGTCTGGTTGCTGGCTGTAACACCGTCAGCTGCTGCTGCTGCTGTAGCACCGTTGTTGGTGTGGCTTATTGAGAATACCAAGAAACAATTAACCCCAGAGGATTTGCCACCCAGGATAACCCAAAAAAGTCAGTGTCATCGAAGACTGTCTAACTTATTTCCATTGGGGTCCTTAATCTTGTCTCCCAGGATGCAACCCACACAAGTCGACTAACACCCAGGTGAACAGGAAAATATGCCTGGAACTAGTGCTCGTATTGGTGAATTTAAAGCCAGCAAAGGTTGGTTTGAGAGATTTAAGAATCGTAGTGGCATACACAGTGTGATAAGGCCTGTTCTGGAAGAAAATGCCAAACAGGACCTACAGTACTCAGGAGGAAAAGGCACTCTCAGGACACAGTGTCTCATCAGTCACTGCTGCATCTTCAATAAAGGTAAGTGTCATTTATTCTTCATTTAGTAGACTAGTACATGCACAATATATACTGTGCATGTACTACTCTACTATTGTGCATGTATCCTTCTCTTTGTGTGTAGGAAAATGTATATTTCATGTGGTAAAATTTTTTTTTTCATACTTTTGGGTGTCTTGCACGGATTAATTTGATTTCCATTATTTCTTATGGGGAAAATTCATTCGCATACCGATTATTTCGCATAACAATGACCCCTCTTGCACGGATTAAAATCGGTATGCGGCGGTCCACTGTATATACATATGGACATGGAAAAAAAACTTCCTACAGGGAGGGAAGAAAAAACATGTGGGGTGTGCTAAACATCGTGGTCATAGGCAATGAGCGTTGAAGGGCATCACTGCACGCCTTCCTGCGTCTGGACATACTGCAACACGGGAGACATCACTGCGGCTGAGCTGTGACGTAACAG